AACCTTTTTTAAGTTCTGGGTAGAGAAGGCAAGGATTAGAACCTCAGTCTGGTTCTTTTTTCTGTCTGTGTCCCCAATAGGGAGATTCACACTTTGTATTTGTTCTGGTGACCATTGTTTTTGGGAAAGAAAATGATAGGAAAATTCAAAATATTGCGTTGCCACTAGAACAGAAATAGAGGGGAAAGTTTCCGATCGGGGCACTTGTGGTGACAACTGTACGAGAGGGGATTTCCCTCACACACAGATCCAATATTACAAGGCAAAGGAGACATGCTGGGAAATATATTCATGGTCTGAATTTGAGAGACAAATAAGTAAATCCATGCATTAGAGAGGCATAAGGCATTGCGTATAGTAAACAGGCATGAGTTACTGCATGTCACTCCATTTAAGTAAAAATAGCCCTGACCTGCTTGAGGCATAGTGACATTACAGGGTAGGGTGAGGAGAGAGGAAACAAATCCTCAACTTAAATTTGTGCATTGCACATTACATGCGGAGTAGGATTTCTCCTGTATACTAGAAGTGATATCACTTCCTCCTCTATAAAGTACGATAGGATTGGTCCATGAGGATAGAACTGGATAGGCTAGTGTATGGTGTGTTAAATCTGATTGGTTGCAAGAATATTGGGAAATGAGGAATGTGTGAGTTCAGATCTCACTGGTGACATGCCTAGTGGGGGGTAAGCTGTGTTTGTGACCCATATATCTCACTGTTGGTTTAGATCAGGGGTCCTCAGACTACGGGCCGCAGGCCAAATCGGGCCCGCCAGGGTCCTTAACCCGGCCCGCTCGGCTGCACGCCCCTTGCCAAAGGCGCCAGGGACGGATTAACGTAGGGGCTAAGGGAGCTGCAGCTCCAGGCCATTACCCTAAAATAGGCCCAGCTGCACTAAACAACATATAGCAATCAATCGGCCAGCTGCCGGCAGGGGCTGGGGAGAGATCGGCATTCCGCCAGCCCCGCCTGGGTGTTGGGGAAGAGACACAGGCCATTCTGGAAGCCTGACAGCTTCTGTGTTCAGCCTGCCCTGCGCGGCTGCTCCCTTTCATCTCTGGGCGCATGCCGAGGCACGGGACGTACAGAAGCCTGGCAAGTCAAATGCCAGGCTTCCTTTAGCAGCGTAATGCCAGTGCGGCTACTCCCCTCCAACTTTGGGTGCACGCCAGCATAGCCTCCTGGAGGGCGGTCAATAAGAAGAGAACTGTTATATGACATGATGTCATCTTCCTGCCTCTCCCAAAGCTGCACGCCGCCGTCGAGAGGTAAGACAGGGCAGTCTACATGCCCATTCATTTTAATAAATTTACTGTTTTAAAAGGTTGAGGACCCCTGGTTTAGATACTCAGGAGTGAGCTGTGTGTGATGGAGTGCAGATCTCATTAGTGGCATTGGTGCTGGGAAATGGGCTGCACACAACTACAGTATAAAAGATCAGCCTATAGCTTCTTCTAGTGCTGCTGCTACATGTTTATGATCCCTTTGGGGTTTTAAGACTATGAAGACCTTTCAGGTGCACCATTGAGTTCCAGATATCCTTTATGAAGACTGGGAGATTCCTGACAAAATGCTCACACCTCTCAAACGTTTTGCAACCTTATACCCATTTGAAGAGTCTTTTATTAAAAAAAGGGCCATTCCCATTGTGGCTCCATCAGTTTTCCTGGCTATATTCATAAAGCACTGATAATCTCTGTGGACAATCCCGGTTTTTAAGGATCCCATTTATAAACATTTTGAGATTCTTTCCAAAACCTTGTCTTCTCTGGTGGGCCCAGCCTTGCAACCTGCTCTGGCCGTGTTGCTAGTCTGTCAAATTTTAGGGGATTGGACTAAGGGCATTAGAAAAGATCCCGTTTCTCTGCACACTCATCCCCTGTTTGTGGAGCCTAATAAACTCATGGCGGCAGCCTGGAGCTACTGCGTGAATGTATCCCATCTTATTTCCCAAATGAGTCTTTTGTCAGTAAACATGTGTAGGACTCTTTGGCTGAAATGTTGGGCTGCAGAGCAGGCATGTAAAAAGCAGTGGCTGTGCATTGCCTTCGAGGGACAACGTCAATGCATACATTCTCATCAAGTATGTCACTTGTGTTAAAAGTATTTATCTGTCACAGCCGGAGAAGGTACCCAGAGGCCAAAAATAGTTGTTTTTCTTACTTCCAAGCCACAACCTCGAAGGCCAGACCAAAGCCGGGTGCCCAGTTCAATAGCAAACCCCATGCTTCCAAATTCCATAGTCCTGCAGAAAAATTATCTTCGGCATGAAGGGACACCCCCACTTTTAAAATTGAGTGCCTGTTAGTTTTAGTGGACACTTGGACAGAAAGCATCTCAGGTGCCTGGGTATGGGAGGTGGTTTCCAGGGTCTACAAGCTAGAGTTTTCGCTCTAAGCCCCCTCCCAAATTCACGTCTTCCAACCTACCTGTGTTACCACACAAATTAGCAGATCTCCATTCAGGTCTTCTGGATCAAGGAGTTATTGCCCCAGTTCCAGCAGCAGAAAGGTTTCAGAGGTTTTACTCCAACCTCTTCACAGTTGCCAAACCAAAAGGGGGCACCCACCCCATCTTGGATTTCTAGACCCTAAATGTCTTTATTCAGGCTCAGAAATTCTGCATGGAATCCATCAGGGCTGTCAGAGCCTCCCCCCATTAGGGAGACTTTCTGGCCTCTGTGGTAATCAGGGTTGTGTACTTGCCTGTCCCCATTTTTCCAATGCATCATTGATTACTTTGCTTTGGGTCCCCAGCACTGGGTTAGCCAAATACGCCCACAAATCGAACCCAAACACATTCACTACCCTGGAGCCCCTTACCATTTGTAGGTGAGAAACCTAAGTGAGGCATATACACCCATACACAATTCTACCAGGCAGTGCCTTACACAAGCTTCTACTCCTTATTTCAGGGTAAGGCATCTGTATAGAGACGGATATTTTCATGATTGCGACTTTGAACACCATCAATAAGAATTTCTGGTACATTTAGGCTGAATTCCAAACAATGAAAGAAATGTCAGGTTAGATGTTGCTCATAATAACCACTTGGAGCTGTATTTGTATTTTTTCAGCTGGCATGCAATATTGAGAGTTAAAATCTGATTAATGTCCATTGAGAACACAGACATTTGGCATCCTTATGATAATTAGGACCAATTGATGCTAATTTTTGGAAACTGCAGCAAAGCTGGTGCTGTTGCCTATCATATCGCATCAGGATTCATGTTTCAAATAAGATGTGAAATCTAAGTCTATGTCTCTACTTTTTGCTCCAGTTTTTATACATCAGCTCCTTTGACCTTTGTAAGCAGTTTATTAGCAGTCAGCTGTGCAGCATATCATCACTTCCTAAAATATAACCGATGTTCCTCATACTTCAGTAATCATTTGCATTTATTTTACCTGGTATCTGTAGCACAATGTTTTTCATTATGTATAGCCAAGAGGAAGTGTGGTTGGTGAGGACAACATCCAACCAAATTAAACAAATTCAATTGCATGAAAGAGCAGTTATTACCATTTACAGATATGTAACTAGAACCTAAATATGTCTGTGAAGGTTCTCATTCATCCAGGTCATGGTATATCTGTAAAAAATAAGTCAAGGCAATTGGATTTGCTGTATTTTTCTTGAAGACGTTATAAGAAAACGCATCCTAGACAGTGAGGAAGACTGGTTTAAAAGAGGTAGGAAAAAGGCCATTTATGTAAAAATGGAGAAGCCAAGCTTGAATAGAGGTAGAGGTGGAGGCGTGGGGTGAGACATTATTGTCTGCCACATACAACACCTCTCTCTGGGTCAGGTTAATAGCTCAAATTATGCAAATGCAATCAACACCTGGTTGTGACTAACTGATTCTGTGGATTGGAACAACATTCACCATATTTATTCCCAGATAATTTTTTGTACAAGTACTTCTGAATTGAGAAAGCTGGTTGGATGTCCAGCGAAACATCTTCAAGGAAAAATACAGCAAGTCCAGTTGCCTTGACTTATTTTTTACAGATGAACATAAATAGCATTTTCTTACACACAACTAAAGCTGGTCATACACTATGCAAATTTTGTCTGGTTCTTCATGAACCGCTCAAAATTCACACAGTGGTTGCTGCTCTCAGCACCCTTCAGGCCATCATCCCTCGATCAGCTGATTCAAAAGATTCAAACTACCAGTGCTTTGCAGCCATTGAGCCAATGCAGACAAAGGAAACAGCGGGGGATTCCTTTATCAACACATGGAAGCAATGGAGAGATCTGTTCTATTTTTTAGTTCAGCCCATAGGTCGAACGAAAAAAAACAGAACAGTGTATGCCTAGCATAAGGCTGGCCATAAATGTGCCAAAGACCAGAAGATCTGGCAACCATTTGTCACTTCCTGTTATAAGATGAGAACACTTCTGTCCCTGTCTCCCAATTGTGCTCTTATGTTGTCACACAGGCCTCCAATGAAGACTACAAGTGACTAGTAGCACACAATACATAGGAAATGGACCATTGTTGTCACCATCCGGAAACCTGCCCCAAGAAACTTCATGCAGCCATCGCTGGAGTGCATGCACACTGGATGTGTCTGCAAAGAAGACCAGCAACACTGAGATGCGAAGGCTGAAAACAAATATATTATTTTTAAAATTATATATAATTCACATACTGTTCACATTTAAATTAATAACTAGAAAAATTAATAGTTTTTGTGGCAAGACCAGCCAGAAGGTGATGAAGCAAGAGCAGGGAGAAGATGGGAGCAGTTTAGGAAGGACAGATAGCTGAGACAGAACAGAGGAAGCTTTCTGGTTGTGGCAATATAACACATTTACCTATACAAATATAATATACAAGAAAAGCTGTGGAGGAACAATTTAAAAAGTGAGTCCATGTTTTGTGCAAACTGAAAAGAAAAAACTCAGGAGACAAATCCGAATGTAAAGTTTTTATATGTGTGACGGAAGAGACAAATATCAGAAACATTAAAAAAATATTCACGCAGACTTGCAATGCTCATTGAAGTTTTTATACTGGAGCGCTTTTAGCCGGGTTACAATTATGGAATAAGCAGTAAAGGAGAGAAAGTGCCACTGACTGTTTTAATATACATCTCCATATCACTTCCGAACAACATGACAATGTAATGGTTCAGGATCCCCGCCACGCACATGGCAAACAGGAAGAATATGATGCGCTTTCCAAATATGTATCCAGGAGTGCTACAATACCAAACAAACAGAACAAATTAATGGGGTCAAACAATTCTAACACACAGTACAAACACAGCAACATCCATTCACAGCAATCTGCCATCCACAGTGTCATCTGCTTCCCCATTTGAAAGGAGGTATACGATGGCAGCCATTGTATTTCTGTTATGACAGACTCAGCGTTCAGATTCCTGAGTCCAATCATTACTGGTCCTTTTATGACTGGAACAGAACACTGTTACAATGTTTCTTATGAATTAATCATTTGATAACTCAGAGCTTGAAAATCTTCGCAAACACATGTTGTCATATTCTGAGGAAATCTCTATGAAATTCAGAGCTCAAGGCTTGGGTTTCCTGTCTAAGAAAGAGAGAAGAATCCAAGCAGAGACAGAGAATGTAGAACATAGCCTGTGGATTATTTTTGTACTACAGGAAAGGAAGGCCCGAAGCAAAAAATAAATAAATAAGCGCAGGGCATACATGACAAGGTGTATAGGGGAGACAAGCTAAAAGGGTTAACGAGGGTTCGGTCTTGGGGACATGGTTACTTACCTGATTGGACAGGTCGAAAGGTGAGGTGGGGCTTGAACGGTGGTCTGAGGAGGAGGGTCTTCTCGGCAGCAATTGGAGATTGTCTGAGGTAGAGTGAACTGCCCGCCCAAGGAATTTTGGTGTTAGCTTGGGTAGTTATGCGGTTGGGGTCTGTGGAGGCCATCAAGTAATAGGTGCTGGTGGTTAAGGTTTGGGGACCTGTCTTGGTATGGGTCCTCTATTCATCTATTGATATTTGGAGTGTATGCGGTCAGTTGGTGGTTGTCCCCGAGGCGGTGTGTTGCGGCTGGGGGCCTCACAGGTTGTAGTACTGCCGCAAGTAACGGATCAAAGGTGTGGCCTTCAAAGACCTGCAACTTTGTTCAGGTAATTCTGATAATTGTTTATATATAGTATGTTTTATATATCAAAGTTGTTAATAAAAGGCTGCTAAGGCCATTTTATACCAATCTGGAGTGTGGTCTAGTTATTACTTACAAGGACGGGTGGTGGGTGGTCTTGGGGGCTTGTAGTGGGAAAGAATGGGGACATCTATGCTACCTCAGTCAAGAGAACAAGGATGTGACTAAAGGTTTAGTTTTGTGATGTAGATGTTATTATGACTAGGAGGATTTAACCAGTTGACATCCGCGGTGTTAAACCCCCTTCCCATCCAGGGCATTTTTCAGTATTCAGCGCTGCGGTACTTTGACTGACATTTATTCCGTCATGCAGCGCTGTACTGAAATGAATTTTATACCCTTTGGGGACAGATAGAGCTTTCTTTTGGTGGTATTTATTCACCACTGGGGTTTTTATTTTTTTACTATATTAAGGAAAAATCACCAAAAATTTTTTTAAAAAAACAGTTTCCCCTATATTAAATGATAAAACATTTATTATTACCCAATTTTTTGGTAAAATATAAAAGACGGGGTCACGTCGGGTAAAAAGACACCAAACATGTCAAGCCTTAAAATTGCGTGCGCGCGCGAAACCTCAAAAAACGATAATACCCAAAATTGGCC